AAAAAAAAAAAAAAATAGAAGAGAGAAGAAAAGGCCATATACCATATGATTCTATAATGGCTGGAAGAGGCCAACTTGCAGAATGCGCTGAGGTGGCCACACCGGCTGAGTGGACTATCGGTGGGCAGTACAGCTCTAGAGACAGAGTCCATGGAGGTGTTCCTGCCGGCTGGGGGAGGTGCGGGGGATGGTGGTACCTCAGGAGTTGTGAGAAGACGTTCCTAACAAGCCAGACGCTGCTGGGCCTACTGGACAGGCCTGACCCCTTGCACCCTCAGCTACGCCTCACTCAAGAGACCACACCTCAGCTTTTGTACTTGGGACCCCTTCAGGGAAGCCCGCTCACCTCACCTAGAAATGCAGTACTGGGAATGACCATCCTGGTCACACGCTCACTAAACTGGCTTTGCACAACCTGTGGCTGCTCCCAGCTTCTCTGCCTTTTCTTTTTGAAACAGCCTCACTATGTGGATCAGTCTGGATCAAACTCGGGTCTCTCCTGCTCCAATGACCCTCCCCTCCCCAACGCCAGCCCGGGTCCTGGGCTTGAACTCAGGGCCTGGGTGCTGTCCCTGAGCTTTTTCAGCTCTAGGGTAATGCTTTATCCCCCGAGTCACACAAACGCTCATGAATACTCTTATCTCCCCTTAACCACCAAGGAGGCAAGGTGCCCAGGCCCCAGTGGCTGAGGCTCGCAATTTGAACCCAGCCCAGGCAGGGAAGTTCCTGCCAGTCTACTATCTCCAATTAACCTGAAAAACCAGAAGTGCTGCTATGACTTAAGTGATACAGCGCTAGCTTTGAACACAAAGAAGAGCTCTTGGGACATGCCCAGCCCAGTTCAAGCCCACAGACCAACAAACAAAACAACAACCACAACAACAAAAGTCAGAAGTAGAGCTGTGGCTCTAGCCTTGAGCAAAAAACTCTCATTGACAGCACCCAGGCCCTGACTTTAAGTCCCATCCAGGATTGGCACAAAGTAAAAGGCATTTCCAGGTTATTAAAAACACCCTAATGAATTTCACCAAATAAGAAATACATCTACTGAAGATTCATGGATAGCACCGCTCACTAGTCGGTACGTTGTACTACACAACCGCTCACTAGTCGGTACATTGTGTGTACTACACAACCGCTCACTAGTCGGTACATTGTGTGTACTACACAACCGCTCACTGGTCGGTACGTTGTGTGTACTACACAACCGCTCACTGGTCGGTACGTTGTGTGTACTACACAACCGCTCACTGGTCGGTACGTTGTGTGTACTACACAACTGCTCACTGGTCGGTACGTTGTGTGTACTACACAACTGCTCACTGGTCAGTACGTTGTGTGTATTACACATCCTGCTCACTAGTCGGTACATTGTGTGTACTACCCAACTGCTCACTAGTCGTTACGTTGTGTGTACTACACAATGAAAACAAGCGAGGGCGTTATGTCTGAAAGCAAGACTCGCTCCTAGGAGCAGCAGTGCTGGGTGCTGTGAGCTGCCTGCACTCTGCACTGAGTCACCTTTAACAGGACTGACTCTGACCAAGGGCTCAGGGTTCAAGCGTTCCCATGAGCACTGCGAGTCAGAGCCTGGTGCCGGGAACCTGTGGATATATTCTCAGAGCTGGCCCCACCCCAGGAGAGCAGCTCAGGTGATTCCTCCCTCTCTCAAGACACTTTACAAGTAAGGTTTAGCTGATTTTACTGGAGTAACTGCCAGCTATATCCTGGAAATAGCAATGTAAACTGTTTCACTTAAAATGCAACAACATAAACTTTAGCTACATATATAAAATTGGATGCAAAAGTTTTCTATGAAAACATTAGTAACTACTACTTTTCATCGTTAAGAGTCGTATGACTCCCTGGAGGGAGTCCAGTGAGCTAAGTATAGTAGGGCCAAAGTGCCCTTGTTTTGCTCTAGATTTGACTCAATAGGAGCACTACATCTCTTAAGTTTCCATTTGTTAAACAGCTAACTCTTCCCCTTTCATTCTTGTGAAGGCTAGTCTAGTTTGTATGGATGTTGGGTGGCAGGTGTTGTCTAGTCTGTATGGATGATGGGTGGTAGGTGTTGTCTAGTCTGTGTGGATGATGGGTGGTAGGTGTTGTCTAGTCTGTGTGGATGATGGGTGGTAGGTGTTGTCTAGTCTGTATGGATGATGGGTGGTAGGTGTTGTCTAGTCTGTGTGGATGATGGGTGGTACGTGTTGTCTAGTCTGTATGGATGTTGGGTGGTAGGTGTTGTCTAGACTGTGTGGATGATGGGTGGCAGGTGTTGTCTAGACTGTGTGGATGATGGGTGGCAGGTGTTGTCTAGTCTGTGTGGATGATGGGTGGCAGGTGTTGTCTAGTCTGTATGGATGATGGGTGGTAGGTGTTGTCTAGTCTGTATGGATGATGGGTGGCAGGTGTTGTCTAGTCCGTGTGGATGATGGGTGGTAGGTGTTGTCTAGTCTGTATGGATGATGGGTGGCAGGTGTTGTCTAATCTGTATGGATGGGTGGCAGGTGTTGTCTAGACTGTGTGGATGATGGGTGGCAGGTGTTGTCTAGTCTGTATGGATGGGTGGCAGGTGTTGTCTAGTCCGTGTGGATGATGGGTGGCAGGTGTTGTCTAGTCTGTATGGATGGGTGGCAGGTGTTGTCTAGTCCGTGTGGATGATGGGTGGTAGGTGTTGTCTAGTCTGTATGGATGATGGGTGGCAGGTGTTGTCTAGTCTGTGTGGATGATGGGTGGCAGGTGTTGTCTAGTCTGTATGGATGATGGGTGGTAGGTGTTGTCTAGTCTGTGTGGATGATGGGTGGCAGGTGTTGTCTAGTCCGTATGGATGGGTGGTAGGTGTTATCTAGTCTGTACCAATAGGTATCAAGTATAGCACACTGGCAGCTAGGGCATCAGCAGCAGACCATCAGTCAAAGTGTTTAGAGCACACACAAACCTTGCAGAGCAAGTGTGGTCTTCTACTCAGAGCACATTCAACAATTCTGGCAAAGCAGCTAACTGAGAGAGGTAAAGAGGTCAGTTCACAGGCATATACACATGTGTGCCAGCAGGAACACTGCAAGCCTGCTAGCAACAGAATCTTACAATGCTTCCTAAGTTTCCGGAACTACCCCAATTATTTTCAATTACTGCACATGAGATGTAAAATGACGAAATGTAACTTCTATGTAAATTAATACTAAAACAGTAACAACTGTGAATAAAACTCATCAATGAAATTTAGAACAAAACTATACAGAAGCACCGAGTGACATCTTTTGTGATGCGTTTTTATATAAAGATCGTGTTACCTTTCCGAGCATCCTGCCTAAGAAGTAGTAATGTCTGGCAAAAGAATCTCCCACAAGCATCTGGGCAGCTGGGTTCGGGTACAGAAGCCCTTCATTAGTGGTCTTAAAGAATCCCTGGTTGGGGTTAAATCCGGATTTTAGTAGTTCATTTAAAAACTCTCGAAAAATACCCCCACCATCGATGCCAGCTTCATCCAAGCCATGGGCGTTGAGCAAGTGCACACGAATCCGCTTTTTCAAATCTGGTTCTGTTAAGGAAAAGGGAAGGGCGTTAAACAGTCAAAAAAGAAAGCAGTGAGAGCAAGGGCAATACAGGAAGCATTGGCGGAGGTCAGATAGTAGAGTACTGACGTGTATGACTCAGCAGAGCAATGATATTAAAGGGACAATGCCATGACATCTACATAAATATAAATAAGCAAACATAGTCCAAAACCAGAAGCTCGTGTATATAAAAGTGCCCATTTCAGCTTACTAGCAAACAATAAAAACAGCCTCTCTGGAGTCTGCAGGAAAAGGTTTGCAATAGTAGGGAGCCCAAGGCTTCGGCATGCTAGACAAGCATCCTTCATCTGAGCCCTGTTCCCAAGCCCTTCACTTGCTCTTCGCTAACTTTATCCAGGTTGGCCTTGAATGTTGAGACCCCAGGCCGGTGCCTCTAGAGTAACTAGGCTACAGGAATGCAGCATCACACCCAGCCCCAAATCTTTCTGTTGACTACTCCAGACGGGCACCGTGTGAGCAGCATTTAGGAGAAAGTTAAAGTATGTCACCTACTGCATGACAGAGGAGATTGAAATGCCTGTAGAAGAGGGGAATAAAACTAGGGACACGAGAAGATACTAGAGCAGTTGTTATCGTCAGGAACACTGCCAAAGGTGACAGACACTACAGAGCCCAGAATGAGGAGAGCCATGTGCCCCGACACCAGGAACCACGTCCCCTGTGGGAGTCAGGCAAACACCTTCGGGCTACAGCGACTGTATCATGCCCAGCTAGAATATATGCTGGGGATTGTATGTTCCTGACATCTCTTAACAGCCCCAGGCTAAAAATCACACTCATCTGCAGGACAAAACTGAGCAAAACTAACACTCCAACAGCTGCAAACATGAATACCACCACATAGCTGATGCATAACTTTTTTTTTTTGTCGATTATGGGGCTTGAACTCTGGGCCTGGGTGCTGTCCCTCAGCTCTTCAGCTCAAGGCACAGTACCACTTCCAGTTTTCTGGTGGTTAACTGGAGACAATAGTCTCTCACTAGCCGGGTGCCGGTGGCTCACGCCTGTAATCCTAGCTACTCAGGTGGCTGAGATCTGAGGATTGCGGTTCAAAGCCAACCCTGGCTGGAAAAGTCTGCGAAACACTTATCTCCAATAAACCACCAGAAAACCAGAAGTGGTGCTGTAGCTCAAGTGGTAGAGTGCTAGCCTTGAGCTGAAGAACAGAGCCCAGGTCCAGAGTTCAAGCCCCATGAGCTACTGGTGCTCAGTTTGAGGTACTATTCTTAAATAGAACCATAATCAAGATAAAGAACATCCTTTTACTGACAACCCCATCTCAATTTTGGTTCATATAATTACAAAACATGTTCAAACTAAGTCCCAGATAAAATTCCAAAGAGAAATCTCGCCAGCTAACCAGAAACAAAAACACTAAAATGTATTTGCTCCAGCCACGAATGGCTCATGGCTGTAATCCTAGCTACTCAAGAGATTGAGATCTGAGGATCATGGCATGAATCCAGTCTGGGTAATGAATCCAGTCCAGGAGATTTTTACAGAATACCAGCCTTAAGCCAAAGACGCTCAGGGACAGTGACTACAGCCCGAGTTGGCCTGAGTTAAAACTCTAGAAAGGAGAACATGTTTTCACATTTATATCAAGCTGTCACCTGAACATCTAATCTTTTTTGTTTTGTTTTTTGTTGGTCGTGGGCCTGAACTCTGGGCCTGGGCGCTGTCCCTCAGCTCTTCAGCTCAAGGCTAGCGCTCTACCACTTGAGCCATAGCACCTCTTCCGGCCTTTTCTGCTTATATAATGCTGAGGAATTGAACCCACGGCCTCATGCATGCAAAACAAGCACTCTACTGAGCTACCTTCCCAGCCCCTGAACATCTAATTTTAATGGACAGCCTGGAACTCGGGGCTTTGTGTTTGGTAGGCAAGCACTTTAGCACATGAGCCATACCTCCAGCTCTAAATATCTTTTTTTTTGGTGCCAGTCCAGGGGTTTGAACTCAAGGTGTAGGCACTGTCTCTGAGCTTCTTTTTCTTCTTCTTCTTTTTTTTTTGGTCAGTCATGGGGCTTGAACTCTGGCCTGGTGTTGTCACTGAGCTCTTCAGCTCAAGGCTAGTGCTCTACCACTTGAGCCACAACACTACTTCTGGTTTTCTGGTGTTTTCTTGGAGGTAAGAGGCTCACAGACTTGCCTGCCCAGGCTGGCTTTCAACCATGATCCTCAGATCTCAGCCTTGAGCCACCAGTGCGGGGCATGAGCTTCTGCTTAAAGCTATTGCTGTACATGAGCCACAGCTCCACTTTGCTATTTTTGGTAGTTTACTAGAGGTTAAGAGTTTCATGAACTTTCCTATCCCAGTTGGCTTTGAACATTGATCCTTAGATCTCAGCCTCTTGAGTAGCTAAGATTGTAGGTGTGAGCCACTGGCATCTGGCTTCTGAATATCTAATTTTAAGAATGAATACAAGAAGTTACTTGATATATATAGTACTTCAAAAACTGCCAGATAGTAACAATAATATGTTTTGTTTTTTTTTTTTGGCCAGACCTGGGGCTTGAACTCTGGGCCTGGGCAGAGTCCCTGAGCTTCTTTTGCTTTTTCTCTTGCCGGAAATCTAGTCTTATAGGTATCTTGACACCATTTGTGTTTCTAAGGATAAATTACAAATGTCCAGCAGGACACTGGTGGCTCCCACCTACAATCCTAGCTACTCAGGAGACTCAGATCTGAGGATGGCGGTTAGAAGCCAGTTGGGTAGAAGAGTCTGTGAAACTCTTATCTCTAACCAGCAAGAAACCAGAAGCAGAGGTATGGCTCAAGTTGTGCAGCACCAGCCCTGAGCGAAGAAAAAGCCAAGCAAGAGTCTGCGGACACGCGCACACGCACGCACACACACACACCAAAAACCACCAACACCCCAACAAACAAAACAAAACCAAAAACCAAAATCAGTGTCACCACCACAAAAACGTCATTTCAAAGGGCCAAGGATGCAATTCAGTGGTAAAACATTTGTATGTATGTGGAAGGCCCTGCATTAGATCCCTAGTATTTCAAAAACAAACAAGCAGAGGACTTTGTAGATGATTCCCTCCTAAAATAATTTCCCAGCCTCCCCTGCCATATATACCTCTATAGAGAGCAATACACATACCATTTTCTGGGGACAGTTTGTCATAAGCATCCTCATAAATATAGTTCCTTCTTATTGTGACATTTATTCCATCTAGAAATGGACCATCTCCTTGAACTTCTTGCTTATCTGCATAAATTAACCTTTGAAAGATCTGACAAGGGAAGTCACAAGGTTATTATAAACAACAAACTTGTTATAGACACAAGCAATCAAAAGAACTGGGGGTAGAGGGTGGGGTGCTAGAACTGGCATTTAATCGCAGGACCTGGGCACTATCCCTGAGCTTCTATTGCTCAAGGTTACTGCTTGAGCCAAAGCTTCATTGCTGCTTTTTTTGGTTGTTAACTGGAGATAAGCATCACATGGACTTTCCTGTTTAGACTGGCTTCCAACTACAATCTTCAGGTATTGGCGTCTTGAGTAACTAGGGTTACAGGTGTCTGGCTTCAGTAAATAAAATTTAATAGTCATGGTATCAAATGTTGACTTTAATGTCACTGTTTTCTTTCATTTTATAACAGATTCTGAAAATCAGTTGCTTTCTATATTCATTACAAATCTTTC